AGACATGTGAAAGTACTTGAGATGAAGATTCCCATCCCCCGTGGCTTGGCTTGTTTTGTTAAGATCGCCTGCGATTGTATATGTTCCTATAGGCGCAGAGACCCTCAGCCCATTGGAAAAGAGTGCATTTAAGTTCTTTAAGGAGCAAGGCAAAAGACTCGTTATGGCAACTAGGGATCCCAAAGGCAGCTAACTTTCTGTACTAGGTACTCAGTGCTGCAGTTCTTGTATCAGGATACGCGCCCCAGCTGAGAGTCACTTTATGAGACTCTTATAAAGTAATTTTTACAAGCTGGTAGCTATATGTACTTGTAATGTACTCAAACCCCAAGTACTGTACGTGTCATCTATGTACACTCAAATATTTTTCTTCGAAGCCATTTTTTTGTACTTCTCAGAGGCCATGGGTCGCCATAATTTTCACTAGATACATACTCCATAATTATATATATATATGCAATAAGATCACAGTAAACAGGTGATATCAGAATATGCAAACAACCACTGTGAAAGAGTAGTGAAATTCCAAGCGCTTCCGTGACTTCTCACATTATCAAGGAATTTTAGTTCCTTGATAATGTGAGAAGTCACGAAAGCGCTTGGAATTTCACTACTCTTTCACAGTGGTTGTTTTGCTTATACTTATATATATATATATATATATATATATATTATTATATATATAATATATATATATATATATATATATATACAATGTGCGTGCGTGTGTGCTTGCCCATTTAAGGGTACAAGAACGTGCGTTCCTCTTCACTGTGCTGTGCACATCATCAGCATGTACATGATCACCTTGTACATGGTCATTGTGTACGTGACGAACGTGCACTGAGCAGTCATGTACTTAATTACTACAGACATGGTAGCTACACACATGATGACTTATCCATGACTGTGTACATGGTCACCACGTACATGGTCATTACATACATGATCCCCACGAACATCACCATCACAGACACCAGACAGCTGTACTCTCACACTTGTCCTCTTAATTATACAGAGTAAACACGGAACGGTCAGTGCCCTCACACAGATTAATTGTCAAAATTACTGCCTCAACTGACGAAAATTACAGCATTAACCCCGATATATTTTGGTTGCGCTGAGGTACCCAGTGCAAGGCTGCCCAACACTGCCCCTGCGACCTGGTCTCAGACCAGGCCAGTAAACTGCAAACTCAGTATTACAAGAATAACTTGGTAACATACAGGAAAATAAGTGAATACTAAATATTAATTTGATAAAAGTATCCTTCTACTTTATTTGTTCCTAAGTCAAAAAAAGATAGGCAGTATGAATGTGAGACACACAGATATATACACCATGAGGTGTATTTCTCTCACTGTATATATGCTGAGAGTTTAATTCATATTTCAGGAATCAGAGAATTCAACAGTAACCGTTACCAGTTGGTTAACCAGGGGAGTCTACCTGGAGTCTACCTGGAGGGTATTCCAGGGATCAACGCCCTCTCGGCCCGGTCCACGACCAGGCCTCCCGGTGGATCAGGGCCGGATCAACTAGGCTGTTAGTGCTGGCCGAACGTGGTCCAATGTACGAACCACAGCCCGGCTGATCCGGCACTGAGTTAAAATATCTGTCCAGCTCCATCTTGAAGGCAGCCAGGGGTCTATTGGTAATTCTCCTTATATAACAAAAAAAGGCACAATACCGTGACTGGAACGATACACAAATAACCCAAGTCGGACCGAAACGTCGTCGTAAGCTTCTCTCTTTTATGTGCGGGTTCCCCTCAAGGAAGGTTCCTTAATGTTGGTGAGGGGCTCTTGATTTAGGGAACTGGATCTGTGCTCCAGTTCCCCGAATTAAGCCTGAATGCCTTCCACATCCCCCCCCCCCCCAGGCGCTGTATAATCCTCCGGGTTTAGCGCTTCCCCTTGATTATAATAATAATAATATGTGCGGGTTATTTGTGCATAATTCTCCTTATGCATGGTGGGAGGCTGTTTAAAAGTCTTGGGCCCCAGACACTTATGGTGTTTTCTCTCAGTGTACCAGTGGCTCCCATACTTTTCATTGGGGGACTTTTGCATCGCCTACCAAATCTTTTACTTTCGTAGAGAGTGATTTCTGTGTGCAGATTCGGGACCATTGCTTCTAAGAATTTCCAAGTGTAGATTATGATATATATATCTCGCTTGAGATCCAGTGAGTACAAGTCAAGTGCTTCCAAGCGTTCCCAGTAGTTAAGGTGTTTGATAAAACTTATACGTGCAGTAAAGGTTCTCTGCACACTCACTAGATCTGCAATTTCACCTGCTTTGAACGGAGATATTAATGTGCATATCAGAATTGGGCAAACATGGATCTAATACCATTAATCGACACATCTACTCTCCGAAAGGAATACCCTCACCAGATCAATTATCCTCAGAGAGATTTGCTAAGTCATAGGCAGAATGCGAAATAAAGCCCCCGGCCCCTCAGACATAACAGTAAAACAACTGAAGTACCTACTCCGAAATTGTAACATGTCTCTGGTAGGTATCTTTAATGCCATCTTGATCTCTGGAAAATTCCCCGTAACACTTAAGACAGCAAAGATAGCATTCATTGCAAAACCCAATAAAGACATGCACAAACCGGAGAACTACCGACCTATCTCCTTACTTGAAGTCACTGGCAAAGTCCTTGAAAAAATGTCTCCAATAGACTGAATTACTATATGGAGTTCAATCACCTCTTCACTGAAAAGCAGTTTGGCTTCAGGACTCACCGAGCAACCCAACACGCCATCACTGTCATCTTCGATGTCGTGGACTGCCTGAGGAAACAAGGCAACCTTGCTCTAATTGCAACTAGGGATGTACACCAAGCATTTTATAACCTGTGGCACGACGGCCTCATGTTCAAACTTTCCGACCTTCAAGACCACAATTGGACCTTCCTCAGGCTTATGTATAACTTCTTATCAGGAAAAAGCATCATCCCCATGTTCAACGGCAAGTCGGCAGAGTCATTCACACCAACAGCTGGCGTGCCACAGGATTCGCACCTCAGCCCTATACTCTTCAACATATACGTAAATGACCTCCCCAACCTGAATTCGTTGCTACCATCATCACCCAGTTTGCTGACAATGTTATCCATGTATATTCAGCCACCCCTATATCTGGAGAAAAATAGGTATGTAAGGGCAATAGAGAAAATGAATGTGGAATTGCAAAAACAGCTAACTGGGAGAAGAAATGGAGAATCACTACCAACCCCGACAAGGTCCTCATCAGTATCATCGGATGTTTTGCTGCAACTATTGTCAACAAGGGGAGGTATATCCATCAGAGGTACACCTATCACTATCGAAAACCCGAATAAGATCCTGCGATACGAGATCAACAGATCACTCCTGTATAGTTGGCTTTACCTAACTATGCAGGTTTCGCCAGCCCTTCCCCCACATCTAGAAGCAACTGTATAAGATGATAAGATCTATGCTTGAATATCTTTGTGTTCCCATTTCACTAACAACAAAATCTAGCATGTTACAGGTACAAAGAGTCCAGAACAAGGCACTCTGCTTTATCACAGGCACTAGACGTAAGGACAGAATCAGAATGGAAGAACTACACATCCAACAGGAGGTCGATGCAATAAATGCTAGACTAGACAAACTAAAGAAGAGACACTTATATGATATGCAAGAACTCTTTACACCAGACAGAGAAAACCCTTCCGAGGCGACTACCACCACCTCCCCACAGGACCCACAGGACCCACAGAACTCACAGGACCCACAGGACCCACAGGACCTACAGGACCCACAGGACTCACAGGATGTCCCTCCAAGAGTCAAATATTTCATTTACAAGAACTTCCCGAGACTGAAGATTCTGAGGATCTCCCTGAAGATATAGAAGAATGGGTACCACCAGATAAAAACCACCCCAACTGTGGAGACCTTACATCTAACCAAGTAATATCTCCAAACCTCCTATGGCAGGATTGCCTCAGAAACAGTTCAGCCAACCACCAGTGCTAGCAAAGCAGCCAACTATCACCACCAGCTCCAGCAAGAGCCCTGCAATCACCATCTACAGCAAGAGCCTTGTAAGAAACCCTTGCAACCTCCCTCCTGAAAAAAAACGGCAATAGCAAAAAATTAAAGATACTACCAATTCTCTGCCACAGATATATGCAACTTGCATACATCCATGGCAGTGAATACGTCATCCTATGACTATCATGAACAACACAACATACACACACCCTTATTAAAATTCGCCAAAGTGGTTATACCTCTCATCTTTATTACCCCCTCTCCCCACCCCCACTTACCCTTTTCCACATTCCATCCTTACCCATCCTTCTTGCCTTTCTTACCAAGCCTCTGGTTAAAACTAACTTGTCTGGTGGTGAGAAGGTAACGTGACGTAAAGTGAAGGTAACGTGACGTAAAGTGAAGGTAAAGTGACGTAAGTGTGCTCTATAGGTTGTAAACTCGGTGAACTAACCAAGACACACAGTGTCGGTTATGGCAGTTTGTGAAGACTGATCACCAGGAATCTGATCAGTTGAAAAATACCATAACCCTAATTGTGTGTCTTGTTTACACACCGTTGGTATATTCTATGGGAGGAATTGCAAAATAAACCCAATGATAGGAAGGGTGCAGTGGGCACAATAAGGAAACACTGTATCAACATCCGTGGCCCCAGATTATTCCACATCTTACCAGAAGATATCAGAAACACTGCTTGGGCAAGGGGAAACTTGATAAGTATCTTCACCAGGTGCGAGATCAACCAGGCTGTGATGGATATGGGGGGGGGGGCAGCGGGCCACCAGCAGCAAGTCTGGTTGACCAGGCATATATATATGTGTATATATATATATATATATATATATATATATAATATATATATATATATATATATTATTGTATTTGTGTGTGCTAGTATTGTGTGCATGCATATTTAATATGGTTATAACATTTTGACATATTTGTGTATTATTGTTTACAGGAAGGCGTCTCGTCATATGGTCGACATGTGGTTGGTGTCGCACGCCCTTCCTCAGAACGTGGGCAGCGGGGCGTACGGCGGCGGCGGCGCGGGCGGTAGCAGTGGCGGCGAGGCAGGGGCCAACTCCTGTGGTCACTCCGGACAACCTCCAGGCTCCAGGACTTCCTCGGGTAAGCTCCTTCCTCCTTACTACTATGAAGAATTCACCCGTTGCTACTGTCTCTTTAATTGATCTCTAAATGTTCTGGCGCCACCTTTGTACTGACAGCGACGGGCTGGAGTTTTGAGACTCTATGACCGCGGGTTCAATCCCGGCCGGGGGTATGGTTAGTTCTTTAGTCCATTTCGCTATCTATCCTATCGGCCGTTTTTCTTTTCGCACGTTTGTTCTGTATTCCGCCCGTCTGACCTCTCGTCCGTCTGTCTTTTTATCAGTTCGTCAATTTTACAGCCGTCGCTTGTTCATCCCGTCCACCTGCTATGTATTTTATCCGTCTGTTTTTATCTTTTCTTTCCGTCCTTGTGTGTGTGTCTGTCCGTTGACTTTCTTTTCAGTCTGGTTGTCTTTTCGTCTACGTTTAGAGAGGCTGCACCTCTCCGCTCATCTTAACCCATCAATATTTTCCGTCACAGGTTCTAAACATCTTAACCTGACGCCCTAGTTTGTTGCCATCAACATGTTGAATTAACGTATAATATTGAAAATACAATTTATTATAATAGTTAAACTTTCAAGTGAATAAAGAATTAATAGTAGCTGGGTTAGTGGACCTGCCAAGCATAGGCTCAGTGGGTCTACTTCGAGACGTCTCATTATTTTATATTATGTCGTCACGAGTCTCTCAAAGAGATCAGATACTTTCATGTGTCTTCCTTGTTACATTAACTTGCAAGTGATTTTATCCACCTTTATCATGAACATGTTAATTGTTAGGATGATACTGCTGTTTGGGTAGTACTAGTGTTTTTAATTCAAGGTCACGGTTCAGCATGACCTTCCAGGTATAGCGGCTCATCCTCCGTGAGTTATGCGTGTCGTAAAAGGCGATTAAAATGCCGGAAGCAAGGGTCTATTAACCTCTTTTTCCTGTATAGATTACTAAAAGATAAACTTTTGTTTTTCTTTTTGGGTCACCCTGCCTCGGTGGGATACTGCCGGTTTGTTGAAAGAATAATAATATTATTATTATTATTATTACTTAGAGTTACAGGAACTATTAAAAATGAAACAAAATATGAACAACTTAAAGAAACTTGAAAACAATGTAAGCGATATAATGTAAACAATACAATGTAAACGATACAATGTGAACAATACAATGTAAACAATACAATGTAAACAATACAATGTAAACAATACAATGTAAACAATACAATGTAAACAATACAATGTAAACGATACAATGTAAACAATACAATGTAAACAATACAATGTAAACAATACAATGTAAACAATACAATGTAAACAATACAATGTAAACGATACAATGTAAACAATACAATGTAAACAATACAATGTAAACAATACAATGTAAACGATACAATGTAAACAATACAATGTAAACAATACAATGTAAATACAATGTAAACAATACAATGTAAACAATACAATGTAAACGATACAATGTAAACAATACAATGTAAACAATACAATGTAAACAATACAATGTAAACAATACAATGTAAACAATACAATGTAAACGATACAATGTAAACAATACAATGTAAACAATACAATGTAAACAATACAATGTAAACGATACAATGCTGGTGTTAATTACTGAAGACATGGGAAAGACATATGAATTTAAAACACGTGCAACACCTGTATACCTTCACTGGAAGCCGTTTCATCAACCAGTGGCTTTTTCAGTTCATCAGAGAGATGATATACGAAGATAGATGACATAATCAGTCCGTCAGTCTTGAAGAACTATAATGGAAAAAAGTGCTGGCGAACCGTCATCAAACGATAAGATCCAAGTGATACATGTGTGTGTGTCAAATACGTCATCTTGGCAGTACTGTGCACCATTGTTTTAAGGGCAGACAGATAACAGAGGAATTGGAAAACCGTCACCAGAGAAGAGCTATATATTTCTATCTAGATTAAGGACTATCGTGTATTACCCGGAGTGTGAGTCTAGGATAGAAAAACAGAAGGACAACAGTTGAGGCTGAGGGTTAGTGATAAAGTCTTGGCACTGGCTGGCACTTTGCCCGGGTGTTTATGCCAAGATTGTTGTTGGTGCGTATTGTACACACACACACACACACACACACACACACACACACACACACACACAGGTGGGGGAGGGGGGTGCGTATTTTCTCAGGGGGAGAGAGGGAGGGAGAGAGAGAGAGACTGGGAGAAGGGTACAAGACCGTTAGAGTGGGTACAAGGCATATGAGCACGTAAAACGAGGGGGTGTATATGGTCCCTAAGAGTGGGATGAGTGTGTATAGTCCCTCAGAGAGGTATGGGTATGTATGGTCACTGAGAGAATGGTGGATATGTATGGTGTCTGAGAAAGGGATGAGTAGGTGTGGTCCCTGAGAGAGGGATGGGTGTGTATGGTCCCTGAGAGATGGATGGTATGTATGGTCCCTGAGAGAGGGATGGGTAGGTGTGGTTCTCAGTAGTACCAGTTACCAGTAGATGACTCACTACCAACCGTCTGTGTAAATCACTTACTGTTATTCACGTTGCTGCTGACCATAGCATGTTTTTAAACACCGCTTACCCTCTAGGCACTGGTGGGTCAGTCTGAGATAGGGAGCAGAGAGAGAGGCAGGGCGGCTGATGGTGCTTCCCATACTTTCCGTTATAATTATACGTACTAACCAGCCTACGTGAGTGTTTTTACCCATCCACGTTATCGAACCCACATGACATAGTCCCTGAGAGAGGGATGGGTGGTATGTATGGTCCCTGAGAAAGGGATGGGTGTGAATGGTCCCTGAGAGAGGGATGGGTATGTATGGCCCCTGAGAGAGGGATGGATGGTATGTATGGTCCCTGAGAGAGGGATGAGTAGGTGTGGTCCCTGAGAGAGGGATGGGTATGTATGGTCCCTGAGAGAGAGGGAAGCTGTGTATAGTATCTAGGAGAGGGTATGATCCTAGAGAGAGGAAGTAGGGAGGATGTTTTCAATAATAATAATAATAACAATAATAATAATAATAATAATAATAATCGTGTGTTAATGACACTTAAACGTAGCACGAATTTCTACACTTACATAACTGTTATAAATATTAAGACGTGAATAAATTCGAAAAATATTTAGCGCTGAAATAAGTGAACATTTTTAAATATTCTCTAAAAGGTATTTACAGTTTGGAAAAAAAATCGGTGCCAGATTTAAATCAGCGTACACAAAAAATCAACGTTTCAGTTTTTCCTTCAGCCAGATATAATGCACGTTCATTATAACGCACGAAGCTGAGCCCGACATATTTAAATATTAATTAGGAAAGAATACCGTGTAATTATAAATTCAAGGCAACCTACGGCACCATTCAACACTGGGTTATATTTTGATCCTGAGGGCTTTGTCTTAGCTTTCTGGTGCCTTGGTCCAGCCTCCTGGCTCCCTGCTAAGGAGGGAGGGGCCAGCGCCCCCCTCGCTGCCATTCCCAGACATGGCCATTTGGTGGATTGCGTGATGAAGCGGGCTGTTAGTGTTAGCAGCATGCACTTCTACCTCTGTCTTCCCCTCCTCCCTCGAGCATCTTTCCTTATGTCTGTCTCTCTCTCTCCTCTCTCTTCTTGTCTTGTTTCTGTCTTCTCTCCTTCTGATGTATTCTTTCCTCCTTGGTCGTCATGTCCGGCCTCTCCACTTCATGTCTTACCCTCTGGTCAGTATCTTCTCATGTCCCTCATGTCCTCTTCTCATGTCCCTCATCAACCACTTTCGTTAGTACTGCGTAGCAGCTGGGTAGTCATGTTGTGGTGTTATGTTGGCCAGCTGGCAGCTGGCAACAACAGCTTAATTGACCAGTCAGTCAACATAGAAATCTGGCCACAGGCCCAAAAACATCCTAAAAATAATTATAATAATTATTATAATAATTGTAATAATTATTATTAAAAAATGTCATTTGTTATTCGAGAGATTTTAATTGTGTACAGTTGTATTAAACAAAAATTACTTAGCATATTTAGTAAAATCGTTTATATTGCACGAACAGTGCGATGTTTTTAACAAGTTTAAAAATCGGCGTCGGGCTGCAGGTGTCACCTGCCGATACCAATAATGTAAATACGTGTAAGAAAAGGATCCAGTGTTTATAAGTCAATAAATTTGGTTAAATCTCTCTCTCTTTCTTTGACACACACACACACACACACACAACACACACACACACACACACACACACACACACACACACACACACACACACACACACAGTGATGTAGTGTCGGCAGGATCTATACATAGCTTTAAGGAGAGGTATGATAAAGTTCACGGAGCGGATAGAGTGACTAAGTAGCGGCCAGTGAAGAGGCGGGGCCAGGAGCTGAGACTCGACCCCTGCAACCACAACAACTAGGTGAGTACACACACACACACACACACACACACACACACACACACACACACACACACACACACACATTTATTTAAGTTTGTAAGAATTAAACTAAACGTTTAATAACGAAATACAAAGAATAAATGATAACTGCGAACTTACTCAAGTAGTGAGGGAAATGTGTCAGGTATTAAAAATTTTTAAGTTTCGGACTGAGTTTCCAATTGAAATATTTTTCATATAGAATTTAACCCCAGACACGTAGCTGAATTAAAGGATATTCGTGAGAAAAAAATACCACAGTGAAAACTGGAAATAAAACCTGATTGCTTTCATGTGCTTACTCAGATATTTTCAGAGGAATAGGAAGATGAGGCAAGAGAAACACGTTTATGTGAGGTGACAACACCTGTCACAAACACGTCCCTCACATACCTAGCCCTCACATATATTTGTCCAACCTCAAGCTTAATTGTTCGCGTTTTATTGTGATTTCTTCCAAAGGATTTTAATATACCTGAAAAGCAAAGGAATTGTTAAAATTGAATATTTTTTATTAACACATCGGCCGCCTCTCACCAAGGCAGGGTTTACCTGGAGTTTACAGGGTTTACCTGGAGTTTACAGGGTTTAC